ATGTTTTGTGATGATAACTGCTGTTTTACGCCGCAGCGCGCGTTCCGGACTTCACTCAAAGTTCGGTACGGGGAGGGAGGGGACATTTCGCCTTTTTGCTGCTTCACTAGTTCTGGTTAAGAAGTCTCCCTCTGGTGAAACATGTGAATTCTTGCGAAGATGGAGCAAGCTCGTCAGGTCATCAGACTTGTCAAGTCTGCTCACTAGATGGGTCGACACGTCGATAGGAAGTAGCAAAAGTGCAAAATGCCCCCTCGCCTACCTCGCCGCTGTCGCCGAACTGCCCCCAAGGTTCTGTCTTTCACAGACGAATGGCTGTTCTTTTTTAAAACTTTACATCCCTTCATCTGTCCAACTATTTATGCTTTTGAACATTTGACAAGTTTGCTTTCGCTGCAGTTCTGATTGAAAACATCACTAGACTCAAAGACACGCCACTTTTTCATTTGATGCTCAGGTGCCTTCCTTAGACATAGTAGTCCTGCTTGCAAGTAAGGAGTTTGTATAGAACGCTTTCGTAGTTCGAAAATACATGAGGGAAGCGCGACCCGCTTACGACGGAACCACCGCTCTGCTCATTGGCCACAGCGATGCTCAACTTTCATTTTAACTTTTACTTAGTGATGGGGGTTGTCCCGCTCTTCATTTTAAAGGCTTAAGGCACGGTAGTATGGTACTCGGTCTAAAATGGTAGCAGGTGCTATAGCGAGGAAAGGGCGAAAAAGCGAAGTGAAACCATCGAAAACCTGCAAAAAGCTTTGTTCTACACGACTCAGAAAGCAATTTCGGACGAGTTTCCCGTTGGCATCGTGCCAATAACCGCTACGGTAGATACGGCTGCATGTATGTACTCATATATCCATGCAGCACCGCAGCCGCTTCATACATACCATTGCTTCGTTCACATTATAGTACTTCGCAAATGAAACGGTACCAGCATCAGCATCGGTGGTACGTTTGTGAGCGGGCGGGCGCGGTGGGTGTCTGGGTCGGTATGTTGCTTGATAGGGCGCTATAAGTGTACCTTCCACGGAACGAGCAGCACCTGCTTATGGGTGCGGGATTCTGCCTTGTCAGGCACGGTAATCCTACTCGTTGCTTAGGGATTTTATCGTGCCTGTTGTCTCGAAATGGAGAGCGAGTTGATAAGGAGAAAGGACTGGACTAGCAAGTGAAAACTCGTTCGACTACCTTTTCCTCGCCTTATGCACGTACAAGCGTGCTTTCGCACAGGGTTATATATGGGCATTTCGGGCGGATTTTCAGCGCTTTTCTTTGTATACCATCTTGTCATCAGTATTTAACGCATTCTGGACCGCCGTTGTGCGAGGATCTCCGTGGCGCAGAGAGAAAGATGTGTGACACACCATGTGTGTCACGCGGTCCGGAATGTGCTAAACCGCACAAATCGTCATTTTCGAACGTGGGGCTTGCCTTTACCTCTGACCTAACGTGCGTTTTCCATATTTGCTTGCTAACAACTCTATATTGTTTACTTACTGGGAGCAGACAACCCTCAATCACCGCGAGGACGATAGTGCCCTTGATGGGAAACCTTTTTCGCCTTTTTGTTTGTCATGATAAACGTCTGTATGAAGCGCCCCTTTTTTGTGATGTTCACGGATAAATTGTTCCTCGCAGGAAATTTATTGGAACACTAAAATAAGTGGGCGTTGTTTTGCCCGCTTAGAACAAATT